ACGTTCTCCACACTCTCGTCATCACAAGAACGTCCTCAAGAGAACGTCCTCGGAGAATGCACTTGGAGCAGGAAAGTGTGGAGCACGGTAGTATGCATATTGAGAAACACCCATTGACTGCTAAATAGAATTGAAGCGCTATCTGAATTTTTGCATTACGGTAGTTTCCTACACTCTATCCGCTTGGTTTTTCATTACGGCGGTGCTAATCCTCGTATTGAATCATCGTTATTGTTCTGAGTATACGGCTCAGTTTTTCAATCCAACTGTAACAAAGGGATAAGCATTATTGCACGTTACTTAGGGAAATGAGAATGCATTGGTAGTGAGTGTCATAACTTTAAAAGATAGAAGATTAATGAGGCTAATTATTAGTCAGCTCATTAACCCCTCTTAGTCTGCTGCCTTAATGGCCTAGTCGCAATCCCGAAAGGTTAATGACGGTAATGAGAGGATGTTAGGGTGATGTTTCACTATTTAGCAAGGTCTTGCCAAGCTTGAACAAAGTACTGGGGATTACTAAACATAGGTAAGCAGATGCTGTATGTGTAAACATGTACTGTTGTAAACAATGTGCATCGTGACGCATCATCTATTCTAATGCTTCTAATTCATGGTTAGCACTTACAGAGGCTTTCACTTCCCTTCCTTCCTGCACTCAACTGTTGCGAGCTTGAACTTTAACACTTGGGATTACTAAGCATATACACTGAGTGTACAAAACATTAGGAACACCTGCTCTTTCCATGACATAGACTGACCAGGATAATCCAGGTGAAAGCTAGGATCCCTTATTGATGTCTCCTGTTAAATCCAGAACTGCAACACTGCTGGATAACAGTTTCCCATGTGAATCAAAAATGGTCCACCACCCAAAGGACATCCAGCCAACTTGACACAATTGTGGGAAGCATTGGAGTCAACATGGGCCAGCATCCCTGTGGAATGCTTTCGACACCTTTTAGTCCACGCCCCGATTAATTCCAAATCAAATCAAATCAAATTGTATTGGCCACATGCGCCGAATACAACAGGTGTAGACATTACAGTGAAATGCTTACTTACACCCCTTAACCAACAATGCATTTATTAAAATAAAACAACAGCAAAAAAGTGTTGAGAAAAAAATGCAAATAGTCCGGGTAGTCATGATTAGCTGTTCAGGAGTCTTATGGCTTGGGGGTAGAAGCTGTTGAGAAGTATTTTGGACCTAGACTTGGCACTCCGGTACCGCTTGCCGTGCGGTAGCAGAGAGAACAGTCTATGAGTAGGGTGCCTGGAGTCTTTGACAATTCTGAGGGCCTTCCTCTGACACCGCCTGGTATAGAGGTCCTGGATGGCAGGAAGCTTGGCCTTTTTTGAGGATCTGAGGACCCATGCCAAATCTTTTCAGTCTCCTGAGGGGGAATAGGCTTTGTCGTGCCCTCTTCACGACTGTCTTGGTGTGTTTGGACCATGATAGTTTGTTGGTGATGTGGACACCAAGGAACTTGAAGCTCTCAACCTGTTCCACTACAGCCCCGTCGATGAGAATTGGGTTCGTGCTCAGTCCTCTTTTTTTAAATTGAGGCTGTTCTGAGGGCAAAAGGGGCTGCAACTCAATATCAGGAAGGTGTTCCTAATGTTTTGTACACTCAGTCTATGCGCATGTGTGAACACGTATTGGTGTAAACAACATGCATCATGACGCATCATATATTCAAATAATGGTTTGTGTTAAGCAAATACAGAGGTTTTGGGTGTTCATTTATACTCAACGACAATAGTGCCGAGCTCAAAGCCTGAAACTTTATACTGCAGGGTAGACGAGGAGATAAATAAAACAGTAGGAGAGAAATAGAAAGGTAGGACGGAAATAGAACAGAATGTTTGGGATGCATTGAGTGGTCAAAAGGGAGAGAAGTCAACAGACAGAAATAGGGAATTACATTTCAATCTCTATTTAGGTCTAATCTTTGAGACGTTTCATCGGAGCGAAATGTTTGCCTTGTGAAATATAGCACGGTAGAGGCGCCGACAGGTACAGATGGAGATGGAGATTTAGATAAAGAGAATGTGAATATATTAAGAAACCAAACAGACATTTTCAGCTTGGAACATGTAACACAACATTAAAAACCTCTCAGCATATGTAACCGCTTGGTCACTGGTTTGTACCATTTAGTATGTTTACCGCTTCACACTTTCTAAGGTTACGTGACGGATGTCAAACAACAGATATAGGACTATTAGTCTCCATACCAGGGGCAGGATTAAGTTAGCTAAATATATGAATCTCTTCTCAGGGGTAATAGCCTAGCTTATTGGAAAGTGGTGGAGCCCGGCCCAGTAATAATCAACAACAACAGGACTGAGTGCACTTGACGTGCCATTAGCTGTCCTTTCCTTTCAATACACATAATAAATGTTCATGGGAGGAAGGGGAGCCACAGTAACATGGTGTGTGTGTGTGTGCTTGAGGGTATGTGTGTGTGTGTGTGTGTGTGTGTGTGTGTGTGTGCTTGTGGGTGTGTGTGTGTGTGTGTGTGCTTGTGGGTGTGTGTGTGTGTGTGTGCTTGTGGGTGTGTGTGTGTGTGTGTGTGTGTGTGTGTGTGTGTGTGTGTGTGTGTGCTTGTGGCTTATGGCGGTGGGCCCGTGGACCCTAATGGCCATAATGTGATACACTGGGTTCATAATTCAAGTTGGGATGCCAGGTGATTAAATCTTCATTACCACGGGTCTGACTCATTCCACTTCCGCGTAATTTATATTACTCCTTATTCTCTATGATGGATGGACCAAAACAGTTACACAAACCAACCAATACGAAAACCCTATAAAATGTTATGAAATAACAAATATATAAAGAAAAAAAGCACTTGAAACCAGGCTATTTACTACACACAGTACTCTTTGACACTTTCCCCTAACAATTCAAAGACAAATCGCCATTGGGCAATGGCTGACATTTCTCACAGTCATGGAGCATGGCATTGTTATTTGGGCATCGTATGGAGACGTTCACATTGGACAGGCGTCCCTCCTTTTAATGATGGCTATACCCTCCTCAGCAAGCGCCAGTGAAGGCATCTCAGAATAAGAGTGCAACCGCATAATACACTACTCACTGAGGAGACACAGAGGAGTCTCCCCAATGGGACAGAGGAGCAGACAGCGTCTGTGTCTCAATTAATACCCTATTCCCAAAATAGTGCATTTCTTTTGACTAGATCCACAGAGGGTTCTGAATAGGGCCCTTGTCGAAAATAGTGCCCTATATGGGGAATATAGGGTATTATTTGAGACACAGCCTACAGTGTGTGCTTCCCTGGCCATATTCAATGTGAGCTGTGTTGACTGTGGCCCTGTTGCTGCTTGTCCTACAGTCGTCATTACAGGACAATTGGCATGCGCTCCCTAAGCCACTGTACTGACTGGTGTTTGATCAGGCCACTCATGTTAGGGAGCAGGAAATAGGCCGGCAAAAGCACAGTACTACATTAGCTGAAATAATGTGTGCAATAGAAATGCAATAATAGCACAGCAGAATAGTAGTATGTTATTATATGGTAGCCTACTCATTGGAGTTTTTATGGCTTAAAGGGCCAGTGCAGTCAAAAACATGATTTTCCTGTGTTTACATATACTGAGCGTACAAAAAATTACGAACACTAATATTGAGTGTCAAGAACTCCAACGCTGCTGGGGTTTTCACGCTCAACAGTTTCCCATGCTTATCAAGAATGGTACACCACCCAAAGGATATCCAGCCAACTTGACACATCTGTGGGAAGCATTTGAGTCAACATAGGCCAGCATCCCTGTGGAAAGCTTTCGACACCTTGTAGAGTCCATGCCACGACGAATTCAGGCTTTTCTGAGGGCAAAAGGGGGCGGTGCAACTCAATATTAGGAATGTGTTCCTAATGTTGCTATACTCAGTGTATAATGCCCTTTATGTGTTTTACTAGGACTTATTCATGAAAATTAATATTTCATTATGTTATTACTATATTTGTTAAGAAAAACACATCTTAGCATATGACAATCAGTGGTGTAAAGTACTTAAGTAAAAATACTTTAAAGTACTACTTAAGTAGTTTTGGGGGGTATCTGTACTTTACTATTTATATTTTTGACAACTTTTACTTTTACTTCACTACATTCCTAAAAAAAAGAATGTACTGTTTACTCCATATATTTTCCCTGACACCAAAAGTACTCGTTACATTTTGAATGCTTAGCAGGACAGGAAAATGGCCACATTTTCACACTTATCAAGAGAACATCCCTGGTCATCCTTACTGCCTCTGATCTGGTGGACTCACTAAACACAAATGTTTATTTTGTAAATGATGTCGAAGTGTTGTAGTGTGCCCCTGGCTATCGGTAATTTAAAAAATACAATTGTGCCGTTTTGGTTTGCTTAATATAAGCAATTTGAAATTATTTATACTTTTACTTTTGATACTTAAGTATATTGAAAATCTAATACTTTTAGACTTTTACTCAAGTAGTATTTTACTGGGTGACTTTCACTTTTACTTGAGTAATTTTCTGTTAAGGTATCTTTACTTTTACTCAAATATGACAATTGGGTACTTTTTCCACCACTGATGACAATTTGCATTATAGAATACAGACCTACATAGAGAATTTCGATCATGTCGGTTAACCTAGTTTTTTCCATCAATGTATAAATAACCTAGATATTGTAGAGTATATTACATTTCTCAGTACTATTTAAAGAGACAACTGACAGTATCCTGGCAGATTCTTGTGTATGCTTTGCCTCAACGACTGCAGTATGTTACACAGGGTTTCCACACTCCGAATTCTGTGTGCTAAGAAACCCACCCCAAGACACCTCAGAAATCACTGCCAGGAATTTATGGGCCATAACCTCCTCTGTTTTAAAGAAATGGTTTACTGACTACTTTGTCGAGGCTTGCTGTGCTGCAATACCACTGGGTAGTGCCACAGAGGTCCGTAGCTTCAGAACTGCATAGAGAAGAATAAACTCAAAAACATCTGTCAGACTTACAGCCATCTTGAGGCAAAGGAGGAATGCACATCAGTAGCGGAATCATCATACTCACCCTTTTCACATCTTTTCCAAACGTCTCGCTGAAGCTGGTGCCCAGAATTTCAAACTGGACATGAGAATTGGATCCATTTGCTTTGAAATCCATCGTTCCTGTGAGACCTGTGATGTGTCCCTGTGAGGGGAGAGAGAGGGAGGGAGAAAGAGAGAGAGAATATAGTTTCAATTCATAGAGAGAGTGAGGTCTCACAGTGTCATGACAAGACCACCTGTCCAATGACAAGTCCTTTAATATCAAGTCCATAATGAAATCGGTGCACTCCCTAAGCCAATTAATATTGTGATCGAATCAGTTTGCACGTTTGAACCAGTGTCACTGTGCTAGGGACAGGCCAATGTCTCTGAGACAAATACAGTCAGGCCCAAAATTATTGTCACCCTTGGTAAAGATGAGCAAAAAAGACTGTATAAAATAAATAATCCAAATACTGAGCTATATTGTACGCAAAAGAAATTGGGAAATTATATTATTTTATCCTAATACAATTGCTCAGAGAAAGAGTAATACATTTATTTCCTCAAGTGGATAGGGGTCAAAACTATTGACACCCCTGTTTTCAATAACTAATCTTGTGAGGATAACGGCATTGAGCCTTTTTCTAAAATGTTTTATGAGATTGGAGAAAACATTGGGAGGGATCTTAGACAATTCCTCCATATAGAATCTTTCCAGATTCTTAACATCCTTTGTCTGTGCTTATGGACTGCTCTCTTCAATTCAAAACCCAGGTTTAAAATGGGGTTCAAGTCCAGAGACTGATGTTGAATTTGTGGCTATTTCTTCGTAGATTTGGATCTGTGCATGGGGTTATTGTCTTGCGGCCAGATCCACTTGCGATCCACTTGCGATCCACTTGCGGCCAGGTTTCAGCCTCCTGACAGAGGCAACCAGGTTTTTGGCAAAAATGTCCTGGTACTGGGTAAAGTTCATGATGCCGTTGACCTTAAAGGGATAGTTCACCCAAATTACAAAATTACACATTGGTTTCCTTGCCCTGTAAGCATTCTATGGACAAGGAATGACAGCAATTCATGCTTTAGTTTAGTTTACCTGGCACTGTTTCCACACGCTAACATTTTAGTATATGTGGCACAAATTCATTCAAGTCATTATCTATAAGCGACTTTGTTGAGCTTCACAATTTTAGATACTTTTGGATGATTTGGACATGGTGCGCGACAAATGCTAATATTGGTCCCATGACTTGAATGGGATTTGTGTCACAAATGCTAAAACATTATCGTGTGCAAACAGTGCCAAGGAAACTAAACCAAAGCATTGATTGGTGTCATACCTTGTCCATAGACTGCTTAGAGCAGTGGTCACCAACCTTTTCTGAGTCAAGATCACTTTTGCAGTCAAAAAGCAAGCCGGGATCTACCACTCAGATTATCTTTCTTTAAACATGACTTGCAACATTAACCTAATAAAAACAGTTATTTAGGAATGAGGTTTGTGCAGTAGGTCTAATACATACTATGCTTGGCCTGCCAGTGTTAATAATAATAATAATATGCCATTTAGCAGACGCTTTTATCCAAAGCGACTTACAGTCATGCGTGCATACATTTTTTTTTGTGTATGGGTGGTCCCGGGGATCGAACCCACTACCTAGGCGTTACAAGCGCCGTGCTCTACCAGCTGAGCTACAGAGGACCACAATGTTGTTCTCAGACCATATTATATTTCAAAACTCTAGCTGTGAAAACAAAATAGATACGTTTTTGTATCACTTGCGAGGCACAGTTGAGCATAAATTGAAATAATTTGCAAATAATTTGCTTTTCTATTTTACTGGGCTGATGGTACCTGCATCTGATGGTCAGTCTCAGTGGAGGGAGAGAGCAGCAGAGGGTCTGCCTCTCACGGTCCCTGCTCTCTGCTTTGTTCAGATGAGAATGGGGTGTATTCATTCCGCCAAACAGTTGCAAATCATTTCGTTTTGCAACTAAAACAAGACTTTCTATTGGACAAATGCAGGTAGGTCTTCATTTCTTCGTTTCATTCTGTTTGCTTCTGTTTAAGAAACGTTTTGCAACAGAATCGGCTGAATGAATAAACCCCTGACCAGAGAGAGGGGACACTGTCTTCCACCTGATGGCGAAACTCGAGTCGCATCACATTATTCCTGCCTCATGCACAAATTCATGTTGTTCCTATGAAATATTCCTCGATATTAAAATAGCTAATAAAAATAAGAAGCACGTTTTATGTTTTGTAAAAGTGTTGACAGTGCTGAATAAAAACGTAAACATTAACTCACTCAGAAAAACAGCAGCTCTTTGCTGTATTCTTTGACAGACTCTTTCTGGTCATGGTTTTAAACATCATAAAATCTCACGTAGGCTAGTATCAAACTTTGCTATGGGGTCGTGGAAAATGTAGGTACGGTGATTTGGGCTTTCCGATTGGCCAGCGCAATAGGCGCACTTGATTTAGCCACAGCTCTCCTGGTCCACCAGGTAGGAGGATTTGTCCCATCAAACAAATTACATGGTTAAAAATGGGAACACTTTGCCTTCCCGGCGCGCAGGGCTTCTGAATCAAGTACACCTACCGTCAACAGCGCAACACAAAGAAAAAAAGAAGAAGGAGTGCACAGCTTTATCATTGGTTTTTCTACAGAAGTGTTTGGTGATCGACTAAGGATGCCTTGAAGATTGACTGACCGGTTGGTGACCACTGGCTTAGAGGGTAAGGAAACCAAAATGTCATTTTGTAATTTGAGTGAACTATCCCTTTAACAAGAGGGCCCAGGACCATAATACTAATGATCCACTACCATATTTTACCACTGATGTGTATGGCCAAAGAGCTCAATTTTCATGTAATCCAGCAAACGCAAACGCCTGGAGTTTGCTAAACGGCATTGGCACTTGGATTGGAACCGGTGCTATGGTCAGATGACATGAAAATAGAGCTCTTTGGGCATGCACACCAGTGGTGAGTTTTGCATCGAAAGAAGGATGCATTATGCAAAAACAATAAAATTAATATGGTGGTTTATCTTTGATGTTATGGGGCTCTTTTGCTTTTCTGAGTGATTATATTAGTATAAAATAATAACAATGTTCCATATTATTATTATTATTATTATTATTTATTTGTATTTATTTGATAGTCTTATTTACTCATCAAGGGTGGTGCCAATAATTTTGGACCTGACTGTATATCTCTCCACAGCTCTCTGTGGCTCATAGAACATTAAAGGAGCATGGAATTGAAGAGCACACACAGGCACCACACACACGTTTGCCAATGCTGCTCTAAAGAACACATTTGGAAAATGGGCCCCGAAAACCATGAGTGCCACAAAAAACCATAGAAGTTTCTGCAGTGCAAATCTAGTCCATAGCTCCAGTGCTGAAGATATGAGTGCGGAGGATTGCAATAGCAGAAATTTCATGGAAGCCGAGGGCTGGCAACCATCTGCATCTCCCACAGCTGTGCGCCTCCAGTTGTGACACATGTAGAGTGAATTAGATTCAATGGCAGTTTATTTTACTCTTTTCTGTTTCATACTATTTTCACGGCCTTGAGGCCTTTTGCTTCCAAAAAACATTGGATTCACAACTTATGCTCCTTGAACAACCTTTCAAGTATTCAGCATGAAAGTCAATCAATCACATTCACAATCACAATCACAGTCAATCAATATACTGTATATATAGAGAAAAAGGTTATTGTTCATGTTCTGAACTAAAGTGTACTAAATGTACCATCTGGATGTTCTCCAGCATGGACCAGCCTCCGTTCCAAGGCTTGGTGGACTTCTTGATGCAGTTGAGACTGGCCATGCTGTGCCACTTCCTGTCCACCAACTTCCTGTGGAAGGCGTTGGCCAGCGCCAGCACGCTGTCATACAGGTACAAGTTGGACACCTGAAGTCCAGACAGTCACAGGCACATAGAGAGAGTGAGGAGGGAGAAAACAGCATAGAATTACATATAGAACTCTAGAATGGACATTGGCATCATATGGGCCCCGTGTAGCTCAGTTGGTAGAGCATGGCGCTTGCAACGCCAGGGTTGTGGGTTCGATTCCCATGGGGGGCCAGTATGAAAAAATTTAATATTGTATGCACTAACTGTAAGTCGCTCTGGATAAAAGCATCTGCTAAATGACTAAAAATTAAAATAGCAACATGCCTAAAAATCAACCATCTTGGTCATTCTAGAAACGGATAAAATGTGGTTTTAGTCATTTAGCAGACGCTCTTATCCAGAGCGACTTACAGTTAGTGAATACATATATATATATTTTTTTATACTGGCCCCCCGTGGGAATCTAACCCACAACCCTGGCGTTGCAAACGCCATGCTCTATCAACTGAGCTACATCCCTGCCGGCCATTCCCTCCCCTACCCTGGACGACGCTGGGCCAATTGTGCGGCGCCCATGAGTCTCCCGGTCGCAGCCGGCTGCGACAGAGCCTGGATTCGAACCAGGATCTCTAGTGTCACAGTTAGCACTGCGAAGCAGCGCCTTAGACCACTGCGCCACTCAGGAGACAAACAATACAATACATTTCTAGAATCTCTGTTGAAAACACACACAACAGAGATGGGAGACCATGGAAACCAGTTAAACAGTTACAGTATATGTGATTAAATCATTGTTGATGCACAACTTATTCATTGTAAAATTGAGGCTGCACCATTTGGGAGTGTTGGTGTGTTTGATAGGACTGATGTGTTTAAACGACCAGGATTTCCAATGGGTATTGTCTGTTTGTGAATCATGAGTACTTGGAAAGGTACTGTATAAACAAAGGTTAGAAAAGCTTTATAAACAGAGCCCTGTTGTTGTTGCTCTAAGCAGCGCCACAGATGTTGTTCTGGCTCTGATGGGGAGTGAAGGGGTGCTAATCCTAATGACCTCCGGGAATAGAAGGCACTGTGACTGGGAGTGGGACACAGCTGGGGACATCAGGAACCGCTGGGCTAAATGAGCCCCCCCAAAACACACATGCATGCACACTTGCAGACAGACACACACGCGCATGACGCACACAGGCCTGCAAGACAAGTGCACGCACACACACACATACACACACGCCCCCTATCAAACTGACACACAGCATAATAGCCCCCTTGACCAGATGTGAGTCCAGTGTCAGAGTCAACCCAGCGCCATAGAGCAGAAACTAAATGCACAGTGACAAATAAGCAGCGGAGCGGTCCAACTGTTTCAGAGATGAAAGACACAGACATCACACTAGGCTATGATAATGACATAATCTGCACTGACAATTCATGCCATCTCCCTTCTCCACCATGTTGGAATAGCAACATTAAATAACATGGAGCTCTATCCACAAGATAATACTATAGGCTATGGCATACATTCACCCATCATCATGATATGATTGTGATAACTTACATCTGTTGTAATTATCATGCCTTTTGTCATTTTCAAGTATGAACATGACATATGGATGAGGATCAGGCCCAGAATGTGCAGGCCTACTAGAGTGTAGTAATGCATAGAGCAGTCTGCCCTAGTCTGTGGCCAGAGTAGAAGCCTCAAGGAAAGCTATGAGCTAGGCTGGGCTAACTAAGTCTAGGCAGGGCTAAGGCTGGGCAGGGCAGGGCTAAGGCTGGGCAGGGATAACTAAGTCTAGGCAGGGCTAAGGCTGGGCAGGGCTAACTAAGTCTAGGCAGGGCTAAGGCTGGGCAGGGCAGGGCAGGGCTAACTAAGTCTAGGCAGGGCTAATGCTGGGCAGGGCTAACTAAGGCTGGGCTGCTGACTGCATCTGCTGGGTAGTATGTACCTGAATAACTGGGACAGCGACACTGGCTACAACGTCCCCATCAATACCAACCCCCTGGACCTAAATCTCTTCATCACTGACACTTAGAGAAGGCAAGAACAACAACAACAAGGAGCATTCTCTGTATGTTTTCTCCCCATGCCCCTGTCACCCCTCTTCAGTCCTCTCCTCCGCCTTGCTGTTAGCTGTGTGTGTCCTGATCTCTGTGTTTTGATGATAACCTTCAGATTACTTCACTTTCACAACATGTTTGATACAAGAGGTTCAACCAGAGATCAACAAGTGACCCCTTTAGAAGCCTTTATATCAAGAGTTCTGTGATCGGCTATCTCAAGCTCAATCCCACCCAGAGAAGTGGAATGGAATGCCACATTATGGAGGTGATCTGCTGTAAGCCAGTATGGCCTGCCACTGGCTCTGAGTAAAGCCTATGTGTCTATGTCTGCGGATGACTTAACACTATACAAGTCAGCTACTACAGCAAGTCAAATCACTGCAACACTTAACAAAGAGCTGCAAACAGTTATCAATAAGTTAGTCCTAAATATATCAAAAACTAAAAGTATTTTATTTGGGACAAATCATTCACTAAACCCTAAACCTCAACTAAATCTTGCAATGAATAATGTGGAAATTGAGCAAGTTCAGGAGACTAAACTGCTTGGAGTAAACCTGGATTGTAAACTGTTATGGTCAAAACATATTGGTGCAACAGTAGCTAAGATGGGGAGAGGTCTGTCCATAATAAAGAGCTGCTCTGACTTCTTAACAACAATATCCTACAGGCCCGAGTTTTGTCGCACCTGGACTACTGCCCAGTCGTGTGGTCAGGTGCCACAAAGAGGGACATGGGAAAACTACAACTGGACCAGAACAGGGCAGCAAGGCTGGCCCTTAAATGTACACAATCTCTCATGGCTCAAAGTAGAGAAGAGATTGACTTCATCACTACTTGTTTTTGTAAGAAGTACTGACATGTTGAATGCACCGAGCTGTCTGTTTAAACTACTAGCACACAGCTCGGACACCCATGCATACCCCACAAGACATGCCACCAGAGGTCTCTTCACAGTCCCAAAGTCCAGAACAGACAATGGGAGGCGCACAGTACTACATAGAGCCTTGGCTACATGGAACTCTATTCCACATCAAGTAACTCACGGAAGCAGTCAAATCAGATTTAAAAAACAGATACAAATACACCTTATGGAACAGCTAGGACTGTGAAGAGTCACACACACACAGGTACAAACACACACATACAAACACACATAACATACACACGTACACCTGGATTGTGTGTTGTAGTAGAGTAGTGGCCGGAGGGCACACACTTAATGTTTTGTGAAATCTGTTGTAAAATGTATTTTAATGTTTAAAAATTGTATTATAATTTATATAACTGCCTTAATTTTTGCTGGACCCCAGGAAAAGATCAATAATAAATACTAAATACAAATACCGACAGAGTGAAGGTGTGGACATGGCTAATTTGTTAATACATGGCTAACTGACAGCTTTACAGGGGGGAAGTAGATACAGTAGTGTTGAAATTGCAAATTTAGCGACAAACCGCTGACGGTTTGAACCAGCATTTGCCATGTCATGAAGGTGATTTAACATCAAAGAGCATTTAACACTATTTTTCATGAATTATTGAGATATGAGCCCCCTGAGGAGTTGGACCATCTGCTAACGGTTAGCGATAGTGTGAGTTCAGGTGGGTTCAAGGTTTTTTCCATTCAGAGACACCTCTGGTTACATAAATGAGGAACAGAGGAGAAGGATGAGGAACAGAGGGGAGGGATGTTAGAGAGCAGCATCCGTGTGATCTTGATGGGTGGTTGATTGATAATGTCTAGCTGTTATCTAGCTGCCATATCAAAAGGGGTATCTTTGATAACTTTGTCATCATACTGTACTTTTGTTGATTCCTCTACTGCACGTATTCAAAAGTGGTAACGTATTCAAAAACATATTTGTCAGACTATTATTTGTTGGATTGTTATCAATAAACCCTGAACAGCTTCTACCCCCAAGCCATAAGACTGCTACTAAATAGTTAGTTAAATAGTTAACCAAAAAGATACCCAGACTATCTGCATTTACCCTTTTTGCACTAACTTTTTTGACTCATCACATACGCTGCTGCCAATGTTTATTATCTATCCTGTTGCCAAGTCACTCTATTCCTAGTTATATGTAAAATATCTACCTCAATTACCTCGTACCCCTGCACATCGACTCGGTACTGCTACCCTGTGTATATAGCCAAGTTATCGTTACTCATTGTGTATTTATGATTACGTGTTTTCTATTATTTCTCTATTTTCTTTCTCTCCGCATTGTTTATGAAGCATGTGTGTAATGAAATTTGATTAGATTTTTATTTGAATAAAGTGTAAGTTACTTGGATGAGTAAACTAGAAAAATGTATATGAGTGGGAAGTTTAGTCTGAAATAGACTGTTAGGAGACTCAAGAGACTGAAAGCAAAACAACTAACATAACAAAATGAGTCAATAGGAACCACAGGCTATCTAACACCTCGCTAGCATCCTGGTCCTCTCAACCATAGAAATAGAATCACAAGAATTGGCAACCCATTCTTCTATTGATTATATTTCTATGCTCTCCACCAACTCTTCCTTATCTGTCCTACAGATCCCCAACACCTGCCACTGTATTCCAGCACGTCAATAGCTCAGCCTTGTGTAACATCTCATCATCCATTGTCACTCAATGGGAGATACACTATATATGCTGTTGACCCCCAGGGAGCCTCAGGGGCCCCCAGGTCATTCTGGGGCTCTCACTGACGTGACATGTGATAGGGGTCACTGACTTTGCCCCATTGGCAGCATCAGATAACAGTAAAAGTAAACATTGAGCTAAACTTTCTTCAATACACATACTTGTTGTTTCTTATTTATTTGTTATGATCGACCTTGAACATATAAATAAAGCGCAAGTGCAATTTGGCTCCGAATGTCATATGTGGGGACAGACTTTTTTTCCCTGAACAAATCTCCTGACCAGGAATAACTCGGGACTAGGGCCCCTGGTCAGGTAACATGGTCAGGAAAGATGCTCGACCCTAGGCATATAAAACCAGAAAAGGTCCCTTGTTGAACTGACCTCCAGTGACTGTAGGTATCCTTCCTGGGGGTCACAGAGCAGGGAGGAGATGCGGTGGTTGTTCCTCATGCAGCGCACGTTGCTGTCCCTCCACAGAGGAAAGATCTGACGAATAACTGTCATCCTCCCCAAAGCACTGTGGGCCAGCTCCATTATCTCTGTGTCACTGATCTCCTATAGCGAGAAGGGGAGAGAAGGGGACAGACATGTTAACGCATCAACAAAAATGCTCTATAGATTAACAAGGTGAAACAAAAACTGTCCTGCCTGTAACTACTATGACAAGGTGGACAGAGTCCCTGTGTATGGTCACCACATAAGAACAGTCTCAGTCGTACTCTCCTGATAAGACTGACAAGTCCTGCTGAGACTGTCCTTATATGGACACTGTACCTGAGGAGTACTTTCATTTTGATTCAGGATGTGGTCATTAATTATGAACGTGTTCAACAAGCTTTTCATGTAGGCCTTTTACTTCTTGTGATTACTTTGGCATTCTGAAATTCATGAATGATCAGGAAGAGCCATTGCTTATACCAGAACAGGCACAGGCACAGGCACAGTGGCCATCCCATCTAAACAGCATAATACACATTGGAAACCCACAGTCAATATTCAAGCAATTTTCTGCATGTACAAACCGCAATATCCGCTGAGGGAAATAATGTATTAGAGTGAAATTGGTCATTGAAATGTTTGACGTCTAAGTGAACGAGTCATGAAAAGGGAAAAACTTAAGCGAGAGCTTTTGATGCTTGTTGTTGACAACACATAGCTCACTCAGCCTCTAGGCAATCTCTGAGCTCCTGCCTGGTAGACCCACCCGACCCAGGGCCTCATCTCACCCACCGCATTCCACCCCCAGGATAGGTGCTAGTCAGCCACTGCCAGTTCCCAGGCTCCCTGCTCACCCCACCACCACAGCTGTTGGCTTGTCTTCTCATATTTGTTTGTTTTTGTGGTATTTTCTGCTTGCTTGGGCATTCTGTCTGTCTGAAACAGCAGGGAAGCCTACGGTTCTATATCACTTCCACATCAACGAGAGCGATGATTCTCGCATGATTTGGTAATGATAACAGACACATCTGGTGCTGACCGTTTGGCATGATTCATTCATGCTACAACTATAATGTGATATAGGGGAAATAAATGCTGGTCGCAGCTTTATAAAATAATACTCTGAGCTGATAAATGAGTTAACTGCAGATGCACTGATAAAAATTATGAAGCAAAGCAGTGTGGGTAATGTTTTACTCCTCATCACATTGGTATTTTGTCCACATAAAGATGCCAAAGTTTTACACACTGATTTTTTCTGGTAAATAGAAATCTGGAAATCCCCACATAGTGCAGGCCAGGAGGGAGGTTGGGGGTTGGTGTTAGCACTAAAAGCCTGCTAAAGCTCTTATCCACATCCTGGTCCTGGTCTGGCCTCCCATGCCCCTCCTGATTTTACACTCTGATGTGTCCAACATCTGCAGGTGCTGTACAAACTGGGCCTCTATCCTGCCAACCCCAGGGCAGACCATCTGGTCATCCAACAAGTCCAAAAACTGGAGCTTACCTACTCCTACAGACTCTCAAGCCCCAGACAGGAGAGTGGCCCAGGAGAAGGACGACGGACAATAGACTATGGACTTGCACTGAGTGTACAAAACATTAAGGACACCTAATCTTTCCATGACATAGACTGACCAGGTCAATCCAGGTGAAAGCTATGATCCCTTATTGATGTCACTTATTAAATCCACTTCAATCAGTGTAGATGAAGGGGAGGAGACAGGTTAAAGAAGGATTTTTAAGCCTTGAGATAATTGAGACATAAATTGCGTATGTGTGCCATTGAGAGAGTGAATGGGCAAGACAAAATATTTAAGTGCCTTTGAACGGTGTATGGTAGTAGGTGCCAGGTGCACTTGTTTGAGTGTGTCAAGCACTGCAACGCTGCTGGGTTTTTCACGCTCAACAGTTTCCCATGTGTATCAAGAATGTATCAGGAATGGAAGGTGTTCTTAATGTTTCGTACAGTGTATAACAGACAGATATTTGGATGGAGGACACAACTGTTTAACCCCTGGCAAAAGTCCATGATCTCTTTCATAAAGACTCGTTTATGTAGACAGAGTAGTGTTGATCTTGGCCTGGGCCTTTGTAGCCCCTGTAGCAGATTAATAAGTAATGTAAAGCTACAGCAGTGTCTCAGCTAGGACAAGCTAGCTACACAGTGTGAAAGTGCAGAATGGTTGTACTGGAACTATAACTTGCAATACATTGCAGGCTCAATTTCATGACGAAAACCTATTTTCTGGTTCTGACAGAAAAACTATAAATAGTTTTCAACAAGCAGCCTCAAAAGCAACACCATTTTTAAACATAAATGAACAGTGCATGCTACCCACAGTAGGGGGGAGTGGGGTAAGTTGAGCCACCCTTGTTTCTAGGAAACTATACACAAAATTAATAATTTGACCAAATATTTAGGAAGAGGTCATCATTTCATGGAGTCTGAAGGAAGAAACAACATGGAAAAAGTGCTAAGCAAGTTAAGTCAAAAAAACGGATTTTCGCCAAGTCAAATTAATTTAGAGGTTAGAGGTTTCATGATGCTTGTATTTAAACCAAAGTAGATCATTTTAATATTGTTTTATACATTAGTTGTGGTCTCTATAAGCTACAATATGAGGTCTAAACCTAGCATGAAAGTGTATCATTGTAGCTGTGTGGGCTAATAGTCTAAATGTTTGCATTGGGGTAAGTTGAGCCAATGGTTGAGTCAGTGGCAAGTTAAGCAAATTGAAGTGCTTTCTTCCCAGGCCTAATGTAAGGCATTATTGCTGGGATATGAGGTAACAACTGGGCTGTGCCTATGTAAAAAGTGTAAAACAAAAGTACAAAGTGTTTGTTAGGTCTTAAGCCTGTGATCAAATATGCTTCAAATGATTAAAAGACAAAAACAGATTGTGATTGTGTTGAATTCTGTTTGGGAAATGATAATAGACATGGTTTTAAAAAGGTAGTGGTAATATCTCATACAGTACAGAATTTTTTGGGACAAGCTATGTTTTCAAAACGGTAATGCTTACATGAATTCTGATTATTTCCAGGGATACACAACATCCTGAAATATATGTAGATATCTTTGTTAGAAAGAACACTATCTTTCCCTTGATGGAGTGATGCTGAACGTAAAAAATTGCTCCCCTACATGATTCTACACAACTCTGGAACATCTGAGTCACTCAAACTTCTGATCTAATCTCTCTTTAAAGAAAATCCATATCATAACGCTTTGATCAGAAACATATTATTTAGAATAGTTTTTCATATTCCATATGACTGATATCAAATGTAATTAAACAACAACAAATGAGATCTGCAAGATCTAAGCCTACACTAACTAAACACATTTCTATATTAGCAACAATTTATTCTGCCTGATGATGTTCAAGGCAAGTGATCCATGCAGGGTCTCCATATTTAACAATAGTATTTTATTTTAAAATATATATGTATACACCAACACTGAACAAGACCTGTATTATTTCCCTCTCTCTTTCGCTCTAATGTTGATGTAAATGTGGGGTTTCAGCCAAAGGATAGAAGAACCATGCTAGACTGCAGACACAGAGAATACAAAGTATACAGCTAATATGACCCTGGATTCACACATTTGATGTAAAGCAATAATTCACAAAGAGAAGACAGATAACACCAACTAAATAAGTACAAAAATGACATTTTCATGTGTTCATTCAATTATTCATGAACGTGGCTTGTTACCTTGAAAATATATCACTGAGTTGTTAAAAGGCGCAGACAGCCTTTCTCCTCAATACATTTTCAGTTGATGTACAGAGGACAGTTCACCCATTTCTGATGTGGGCTCACAATGACAATAACTGCTAGTATATATGTTATGTATGTTAATATTGTATATTGGTTTTTAGAAGCAGCTCGTAGGCAGTGTGTTTCAAGTCTGGTCTTGAGACCACGAATTGAGTGTCTCGGTCTTGGGCAATGAGGACTCATTATTTCTTCCCGAGACCTGCCAAGACCAGCGGAGTAAAAAAAACTCTGAATTCTCCCATTCAGTCAGCGCATAAAAATGCTTTTGCCAGGCCAAATATCCACACTCATTTCATGATACAGGTAACTGACAAAATAAAGGAAACACCAACATAAAGTGTCTTAATAGGGCATTGGACCACCACAAGCCAGAACAGCTTCAATGTACCTTGACATAGATTCTAGTGTCTGGAAATCTATTGGAGGGATGTGACACCATTATTCTTCCACGAGAAATCCCATCATTTGGTGTTTTGTTGATGGTGGTGGAAAACGCTGTCTCAGGAGCCGCTACAGAATCTCCCATAAGTGTTCAATTGGTTTGAGACCTGGTGTCTGAGAGGGCCATGGCATATGGTTTACATCGTATTCATGCTCATCAAACCTTTCAGTGACCACTCGTGCCCTGTGGATGGGGGAATTGTCATCCTATGGGGGCATAGCCATGGTAGGAAAAATAATGGGCTGTCCAGCATTTTTATACATGACCCTAAGCATGATGGGATGTTAATTGCTTAATTAACTCAAGAATAGGGCTGTTACGTGACGGTATTACCGCCACACCAGCGGTCACGAGTCATAAAGGCAGTCAAATTCCACGTGACCGTTTACGGTTAATAGGATTCTCCAAGCTCTAATGCTGCCGGTGGTCAATAGTAGCCTACCAAACTTGCTAACTGCCTGGTACTCAGCACTCTATTGTCTCTCTAATCACCCTGACATCAATGCAAATGTCTTCGAACATCTAATCAAACACTTAATGAGAGCCCATGAGCTCATGTTGCACAACATTTCTATAGGCTATGAGAAAACAGAGTGATGGCCTCTATTAAAAAGAGGAGTATCCCATCAGCTTTCTATAGGCTAGGCCTACTATATTTATTTCTCAACTTTCCTAATATTAAGCATATTGCTTCTCTTTACAACAAGAGTATAGCCTACCTGGCTGGCATGAAAATGAAACATGGGAAAAGCGTCCTCCATTCGCTATTTAACTGCATAGATGACATGTATTTTTTCCCCTGCCCCTGTTTCGAGACAGGTGCATGATAATGGTCCGTTCTAAATAAATAGAAATGTCACACATATATTACTTAGTATATGTAAAGACAAGATTAAATCAAGAATAGTCTGATTGCCTATCACTTTATTAGCCTATCACTTTTATATATCATCACTTGGGAATGACACCCAGCGTAAGGCAAGAAACAATGCCTTTTTTTGCGACTTTTTCTAATCATGCTCCCACACTTCATGTAGCCTAGCACATAGGCCTATATGTTTTGATAAGGTTTGTAACACAACTAAAGTGGCCAAATAACTTCTTAAAATTAAGCACATTAATGTCACGATCGTCAAACACAGTGGACCAAGGCGCAGCTTGATATGCGAACATACTTTTATTTATATTCACCCACACGAACAAAACAACAAAACGATATGTGAAGTCCTTGGTTACAACACAAAACCAACACGGAACAAGATCCCACAAAACACTGTGGAAAACAGGCTGCCTAAGTATGGTTCCCAATCAGAGACAACAAGCAACAGCTGACACTCGTTGCCTCTGATTGAGAACCACGCCGGCCAACACAGAAACACATGAGCTAGATAAAGAACCTAGAACACAAATACATAGAAACTACACACCCTGGCTCAACATAACAGAGTCCCAGAGCCAGGGCGTGACAATTAATCCACTTTACAAGGGGTGTAGAGCCTAACTGGCATACATAAGCAGCGCGTGAGTTTCAAGTTTGGGGAAGATAATTTTCACCATAAAAATGCACCTTTCTAATAAAAGCATTACACGTATAATTGCATTTGCGGTCACTTTTGATAATGGTGTTTTCCCGCTAATGGAACATTCACGCTTATA